TAATACCACTATAATATTACAACTTGGTAGTGTCAAGAGACTACTACAACTTCAAAAGAAATAATACTCTTTACTTTAAGCAACTCACTACGATATTACTCCAACTCACCATTTATCTTACAGACTACTATCTGTGGATTACTCTCACTGCTATCTGCTTCTCTCGTTTTTTGGTGTGTTTCAAGAGAGAATTGGAGCTTGCTATTTATAGAAAGACTTGCCAACCGTTGGACCAATCAGAATGGTTTATTCTTTGTAATTTGCAGTGCAAATTGCCATCGGCCAAAACAAGTTTTGTGACTTGTTGCAACTTGTAAATTAGAACATAAACACGCCGCTCATAGCCGCAATTTCCTCCAATCATTTTTTTTACTTTATTTATTTAGGTATGCCCCACAAATCTCTCTCTTAATTTTGATTTTTCTTTTTCATTCCAAGACTTGATCTCAATCTCTGAAAATATTCAAACTTGAAATGCTTTGTAAAGATATCCACGGCTTGATCACGAGACTTCACATATTTGAGCTCAACTTCCTTCTTGGCAATGCATTCTTTCATGAAGTGATACCTTATATCTATATGCTTGCTTCGATCATGATATACTAGATTCTTCGCGAGTGCCTGTGTTGATTTGTTGTCAATACAAATCTTTGTAGCTTCAATTTGTGGTAAATTGAGCTCCTTCAATAATGTTCTCATCCAAATAGCATGATAGGTACATGATGTTGCTGCAAATATTCGACTTCACAAGTCGAGAGAGTGACTATGGACTATTTCTTTGAACTCCAAGTAATAACAGAATCACCCAAGAAAAATACAAAATCGGTTGTGCTTTTCTATCATCAATATCTCCCGCATAATCACTATCACAAAATTCCATTGGGTTGAAATCACTAGAAGAAGAATAAAATATCCCAAAGTGTATCGTACCTTTTAGGTAGCGAAGAATTCTTCTAGCGACTTTCAAATGAGTGGAGATAGGAGCTCCCATTAAGCGGCTTACTGCTCCAATTGCAAAGAGTATATTTGACCTGGTACAAGTCAAGTACCTCCAACTTCCCACAAGACTTTTGAAAAATGTGGGATTCAGTTTTTCGCCTTCATCAAACTTGGACAATTTTGTCCCACTCTCCATCGGTATGTTCACAGGGTTACAATCGATCATGTTGAACTTCTTCAATATCTCTTTTCTATAACTTTCTTGAGAGATAAAAATTCCATCCCTTTATCTGCTTCACTTCTAGGCCCAAGTAGTATGACATGAGCCCTATGTCCGTCATCTCGAACTCACGGGACATATCTTTCTTGAAAGTTTTAAACAAGCTTGGGTTATTACCTATAAAAATAAGATCATCAACATAAAAATAAACAATCAAGATATCTCCATTAGTATGAACTTTAAGGTAAAGAGCATATTCATGGAGACAACGAGTAACTCTGTTGTCTTGAAAATACTTGTCGATACTACTATTCCATGCTCGTGGAGCTTGCTTCAATCCATATAAATTTTTATTCAACTGCAACACTTTATCGTCATGATTTTTTATCACAAAACCCAATGGTTGTTCAACATAGACTTCTTCTTCAAGATAGATATTCAAGAAGGCTGACTTGACGTCTAGTTGATGGAGCTTCCACTTCATTTGCGCTGCCAAGGAGATCAACAAACGAATCGTCTCCATGCGGGCAACAGGTGCATAGACTTCTTCATAGTCAATGCCTTGCCTTTGCTTGTAGCCTTTAGCCACAAGTCGTTCCTTGTATCTCTCCGCTTGTCCATAAATATTCTTCTTTGTCTTATATACCTATTTTACTTTAATTGCTTGATGACCCTTGGGAAGAGTTGTTAATTCCCAAGTGTTGTTCTTCTCTATTGAATAGATCTCCTCTTTCATGGCTTATCTCCACCTTTTGTTTGTAACAGATTCATCAAAGTTCATTGGTTCACTATCAGCAAAGAGACAATATAAAAAATTAAAACTAGTAACTTCTTATGTGTTATCATAGAACTTTTGAATACTCCTCATCCTTTACGGTTGTTCATTTGAAATTTATTGAGAAGAAGGAGATGAAATATTAGTTGGTGAAGGAGGTGGAGTTGTATCTTGTGCATGTTCTACAGTCTCTGATTCTTCTTCATCACCAAAGTATGGAAGAAAATCATATGAAGGTTCTTCTTGAGCCTCCCAATTCCATGCCAATTCTCCATCAAATTCAACATCATGACTCACCACCACCTTGCTGCTGCTTAGGTTGTATAACTTGTAGCCTTTTGAACTCGTATCATAGCCAACACACACAAGCTTGACACTTCGATCGTCAAGCTTTGCTCTCCCTCCCTTGCTGTGGGATATGAGCATAGGCTATGCTCCCAAATATTCTCAAATTCTTGACACTTGGCTTTCTTCCACTCCATACTTCTTGAAGAGTTTGATCTGTAACATTTCCTGTGGAGACCTGTTGGTCAAATAAGCTACACGAGAAACAGCTTTGGCCCAAAATTTCTTGGGCATACATTTAGCTTTCAACATACATCGAACCATACTAAGACTCTTTCGATTCTTTCTCTCTGCAACTTTATTTTGTTGGGGTGAATAAGGTACCGTTAGAGGGCGATGAGATTGACAAAAGTCATTAAATTCATTTGAAGTGAATTCACCTCCTCTATCAGACCTTAAAGCTTTTATTTCATAGCCACTTTCTTTTTTCACAAGTACTTTAAAAATTTTAAAAGCAACAAAAGCTTTAGATATTTGGTTCAAGAAATAAACCCAAGTCTTTCTACTAAATTCATCAATGAATAGCAAAAAGTATTTTTTTTTACCAAAGGAAGGTGGATTGATTGGCCCACACACATCAGTGTGAACGAGTTGGAGTGGCTAGGTTGCTCCTGACATGGACTCCTTCGGAAAACTCCTCCTTGCATGTATTCCAAGAAGACAAGCTTCACACAATTGATTGTGATAGTTGATTGATGGTATCCCATGCACTATGTTCTTTTCTCCTATTGATTTGAGCGCTTCAAAATTCAAGTGGCCAAAGCGCATATGCCAACACTAGGATTCATCTTGCACATTAGCCTTCAAACACTTTGCATCAATTATCTTAAAATTCAGAGAAAACTATCTATTCTTTGCCATATGCACTTTAACAATTAGAATTCCACCTGAATCTCTAAGCCAAAGATGCATATTTTTCATGTGTATATCATATACCTTTTCAAGAAGTTGTCCCAAACTCAAAATATTACTTTTTAATTTGGCACATAATAAACATCTTGAATTAACTTATGGCCACCATCTTTATAAGAGATTATAATCGTACATATCCCTTCGATTTGAATCTTTGAGGTATCTCCAAATGACACATTACCTCTCACCATCTTATTTATCTCCACAAACTTGTCTTTGCATCCACACATATGCTTGTTTGCTCCATTATCTAAATATCATGAGTTATAATCTTCCGTCTTCTTCCTTGAGTGCCAACAACAATGTTGACTCATTTTTTTCTTTCTTATTCTCAATAAGTTTAGCTTTCTCTTCAACATTGCTACGGCATTCCCAAAAGTCACTGTCAAATTTATGACAATTATAATATTCAATTTTTGATTTGTCATACCTTTGTCCATTATTTTTTTGATAGTAGCCGCGTCCTCTACCTCCTCTTTGTCCATAACCGTATCTTCTTAGTTGATTCATAACAGCCTTCACTTTTGAACAATAATCCGAAATACAATCAGATTCTTTCATTTTTAAAACTTCAAAATCATTTAGAGTTTGAAGTTTTACCTTTCTCGCTTTATCAACTCCTCGGAGAGAATTTTGTAAAATCTCCCAAGATTCCTTTAAGGTGGTAGCATCGGCCATCTTCTCAAACATGACATCATCCAAACATTGATGGATGAGCGTGAGAGCTTGTTGATCCTTCTTCCTTGTCTTTGCCAAGATATCTTTTTTATTTTGAGGCAGAGCTTTCTCATTATCGGGTTTTGCATACCCTCTGTCTACAATTTTTCATACATCATGGGAGCTAAGAATGACTTTCATGCGTAGATATCATTTCTCATAATTATCTTTTATGAGACGGGAGTACTGAAAAGACAACGAACAATTATTCGCCATGGATCTGATACCACGTTGTTGGAAAAAATAATATCCTGCCCAGAAATAATATCAACGGTAAATAATAATAACACAAAAGAGTAGCAACGATACCAAATCTTTTAATGGGGTAAAATACAATATCCGAGCGGAGCAATATAATAGCACTATAATATTACAACTTGATAGTGTCAAGAGAATACTACAACTTTAAAAGAAATAACACTTTTTATTTTAAGTATCTCACTACGATATTACTCCACTCACTATTTATCTCATAAACTATTATACGTGGATTACTCTAACTGCTATTTGGTTCTCTCTCGTTTTTTGGTGTGTTTCAAAGAGAGAAATGGAGTCTCCAACAAGCCACAATTTGTAAATTAGAACATAGACACGCCGCCCATATTTTCTCCAATCATTTTTGTTTCTTTTTTTTACTTTTTTATTTAGGTAGGTCCCACAAATTCAACATGATTCTGTGTGCTCCAGTGGAAATATGAGATTGATTGAACTGTTGAACAGCTTGATCATCTTCAAAGATGCTATATTCATCAGATGGAAACTGCAAAAATGACAATTGTGGAGGGGGTAGTGTTGTTAGAGATAAGGGAGGTCATCTTATTACGGCATTCTCTTTAGTCTTTGACTCCAAGCTGCTTGTTGATTGCGTTAATAGATAGGATACAGTTCTTTGATTAACGATGAACACTCTATGTATCCACACACATGTATTTACCTCTCATTTTTGTATTAAAGGTAGCCTTTGTTACCTTTCAAGAGAGATTAAGGTGGTTGTTACTAGAACAGCTCCTTCAATTCAACTGTAACCTTTTTAAGAGATGAATAAAATGCTATGTTGGTATTAAACAAAAAAATTCATATGACAAGACTGTATTAAAAACATGTACCTTGGCCATTTCTGGCACTCCACACTATCAGTTTATTGTTCAACAACACCAATTAATATTCTCATTTCTCAACAAGAAATTATAGTCCTTCATCAGCAAAGTAAATCTACTCAAGACATGTAAACATTCATTTGGCGATTGACCATTAGACACACAGCAACAAAATGATTTATTTTGGATCGAATCATATATTTTGGACAAACTCGATCCACCCTTTGACAGAAGACTAAATACTCGTAGTACTTATTAGATCTAAAATTCCCAAATGGCGCACTTGTTTTTGGGAAGATCATCAAGCCTTGGATGTAAGATTGAAGTTGGCACATGTTGTTCGGCTAAACAAGAGTGAAGAACTAAAGCCCATCCTTTTGTTAGCAATGTCAAATTGCAAAAGGTTGTCTTCAATTTGATGAGCTCCGATGACTATAGAGGTGGTAGGTTCAAATCCGCCATCCACAAATCCAAGACAGAGCACCTCATTATTCACAACCACCATTGAATTCACACCCCAAATAGTCCAAGATTTAGCATCTTTATTGCTTCCCAAAACCAGTTCAATTGGTGGAACACCAGGACCAACACGAGTGCTTCCCAAACTCGTGCTATTATAACACACTCTAAAAGGAGCCACAGATTTCACCCTTGCAACCTTAGCAAGCGATTTCACAAACGCCTTTGTAAAAGCATTGTAAATCGAAGTCTCCAATTTTGTGTAAGGATCAACAGTGCTGATTTTGGTTCCTCCAATACCATTTTTGGCGATTGTCAACAATGTTGTGTTAATTGGAACAACATTACCATTAATTTTAATGGATTTGACTCCAATAAAGTATTCCATTGAAGGTTCCCCTCTAAAATAAGACCCGGAAGTACTAACAGGGTTCTTAAGAAGAGGCGTATAAACAAGTCTCTTGGAAACATCAATATCTGGGAGAAAAACATAAGGACTGTTTCCGAAAAATATAACTCCTTTAGAAGTTGTGGAAGAACTCAAGCAAATAGCGAATTTTCGATCAAGATGGAAAGCATCAGCGAGTTGAGAAGGAAGTCCAATGAAGCCATTTCCAAGTCCAGCTATCCCTTTGACTCCATTGGCAAGGCCTTCTAACAGAAACGTAGCGCCACAACCGAAAACTACTCCTGGCCGCGCTGAACCAATAAAACGGCCAGGATTCGAGCCATCGGTTGATTGGAGTGAAACAACATCTTGAGCAAGTTCACCACCAGTGCTGGTGTGAATAAAAGGATTATAAGGGTCATGGACACAAGTACTATGATTGTTTCCCACCGCACATGCACCTGAAAAGGAACGTTTGCAAGGGGTAGAATCGCAAGGGACGGGCTTATAGGATGAGCTTACGTAGCCCTTTTCGCAATCAACCCATAAAAATCTTTGCCCAAGATCTATAGTTAGTTTGACAGGGACAAGAGGAGTTCTTTGGCGAATAACGGTGACGTATTGTTTAGTGGCTGCATCTTTGGTTACTGGAAGAAGAAGAGCTCGAGGTCTTGAATGAGTTTTGGCTGTGGATGAGGAGAATAAGAGGAGTAAAGAAAGAAAGAATAAAGCATTGATGGAAGAAACGTCCATTGTTATTGAGAGCTAAGAATTAACGAGTGAGTGGAATTGAAGAGTTTGCTTTTGGGTTTATAGTAAAGAAAAGCTTCTCTGACTCCTGTTGTTTATGAATACCAGAATACTAGTTATATTTTATGAGCGAAGGTACGATACAAAACTTAAAGAACGCAGAAATCACGTGTTTATTCATAGTTTAAGAATTTGCATCCGTTATTCATACTCAATTTAGTAATGCAACTTGCCATATTTAATTGTACAATCTCTAATCTCTAGTCTTTCGAGTTCCCTAATTCTATGACTTACTATAACGGTAACAAAATGTTGGCCGAAGTAAAATTTTGTTTGGAAGATTGACAAAGGAAACTCAGGCATGAACCATGTTTATCCCCTGTGTACACAAACACAGGCAGATTCGAGCATGAGAAATGCACGTGAAGGAGATAAGCTTAACTTGTTATATCTGATATTTTCTAATCGAAAATGTTGCATAATTGATAAGGAGAATAACTCATTACTCAAAGAAAATACTATCCAAGATAAGGGAGAAGTTAGAAGTTGAGGATAACTAGAACTCAAGTTATTTCTCATTCTACTAACTCTGTATATTGCAGGATGTTTTCATTCTACGGTCACACATAAAAGCAGAAGTTAAACAAGAGTTGAGAGCAAAATAGCAAGGCATTTTGCAAACAATTCTTGTGTGATTCAAGTGTGCGAACCTGAAGCTACATGAATGAGATAGAAGAACCAGTTCCAAGTATCTATCTTTTATTCTAGTTTAATTGTAGTAGGTGATTTTCAATTTGTACCTTTCAGCTTTATCTAGAGCCAATTGTAATAGGTACTCTGAGTATTCAAGTTAGAGTTAACTTGAAGTTGTCGCAACCGTTAGAGGCTGGTTTCCACAACGGGATTAGAGTTAATCCTTAGGTTTACAAAAAGTTTTGTAAATGCTGTTTTGATTGATTTAATGAAGTGTTGGGGAAAATTCTACTGAGTAGTAGGTCGTGATTTTTTCATCTTTTGAGCCGGCTGTTTTTCACGTAAAAATACTTATGTTCTTTACTTTTCGCATTTACTATTTTAGCAACAGTAGGTTAAGGAACACTTAGAAGAACCATGTCCTTCTGTAGTCAGTACACGCGAAAATTAGACACCACATAAATCACTCCCCCTCTTGTGTAGCATTGACGTATAAAACATCAATTGGTATCAGAGCAGGTTATCCTTGAAGAGGCTAACACCTTAGGAGAAGATTAAGATGAGTGCACCACCTGGAAACTGGGAAGGGCAATCCACTACTAGGCTACCACTCTTCAACGGCCAGTATTACTCTTGGTGAAAAAACAAGATGAGAGATCACATCATAGGAGAAGACTATGAGCTTTGGGACATTGTCACAGATGGCCCACTGACTACCATGAAGATAAATGGCGAAGGAGTAGAGGTGCCAAAGACAAGAGATAACTGCACTACTGAGGACTTGAGGAAATGGGAGAAGAATGCTAAAGTCAAGAAATGACTTATTTGTGGACTCGATCCAGATGAGTACAGTAGAATCCAAAGCTGTACCACTGCTAAGAAAATCTGGGATACTTTACAAGTGGCCCATGAAGGAACACCTCAAGTGAAGAGGTCCAGAGGAACTCTACTGTATTCTCAATATGAGAACTTTACCATGAAGGAAGGGGAGACCATTCAAGAGATGTACACAAGGTTCACTACATTGACAAATGAACTAATGTCTCTTGCAAGGATTATTCCTGAAGAAGATAATGTTGAGAAGATTTCGACAAGGGTTCTGCCTGTTACTTGGGAGAGGAAAATTACTGCCATTCAGGAATCAAAGAATATTGCCGCTCTCCCATTGGATGAGTTAATTGGAAATCTCACTACTTATGAACTTAGGAGACAAACCATGAAAATGGATGTACCTAAAAAGGAAAGGAGTCCGGCACTCCGAATCACTGAAGGTTATGATCTAGAAAATGATGAAGTGGCTATGATCACCAAGGACTTCAAGAAGTACTTAAGGAGAGGAAAAGGTCTTTCAAGAAGTGAAAGCTATAGTAAATCAAAAGTTCCTGAGAAACAAACTAATGATGGATGCAACAAGTGTGGAAAGACTGACCGCCACATCAAAAACTGTCCCCAATGGGAAATTAAGTGGAAGAAGGAAAGAGCTGAACGAAGGAACAGGAAAAAGGAACAGGTTCAACCCAAGAAAAGCAATAACAAAGGATCAACCAAGGCTATGGTTGCTGCTTGGGGAGAAAACTCAGATGATGATGATGGGGATGCACAAACACTTATGGACATTGGAGAATCTGATGAAGAAACTAAGGTAAGTGTAATTCATCTCAAAGACAAAATTAAATTATTGTCTAAAGAAAGGTTATCCGAGTTACTTCTAGAACTGATTGATGAATCTGAGGATGTAAACAATGAAAAGGAACAGTTGTCTAAAGAATGTGTGATTTTGAAGGCTAAGTGCAAAATCCTAGAACTTAGGGTTAGTGAAACTGTAAGTAAAAACACTGTGTTGAAGAACCAGGTTCATGCACTTGACTGAACTGTCCTAGAACTTAGATCTGAAAATCTAAAACTGAAATTAGGAACAGGTAAAAGGATAGCTGATCACACACAACTCATTCTGGAAGAAAACGTAGGTAAAATGAAAGATGATCTGTATAAAAGGGATGAGCAGGTAAGAATTCTAAAGGAAGATTTAAGCAAGGTCAAGCATGAGCTACACAGAACTTGTAAATGGAACAGGTCCTCCGATGCACTTTCATTGCTACAGGAACATCATAGTAGCAACAAAAGAGGACTTGGCTTTGGGAACCTGGCACCTAAATGGGATCCTAAAAGAAAGTACCTCACACTTCCTAAGAACAAGATTTGCACACACTATGGTAAAACAGGTCACTATAAAAGTGAATGCACTGCAAAAGAAAAGGCAAGTCAAAAGAACAAAGAATTTGTTCAAGGGAAAAATAGGCTACCAAGTTGGGTTAAAAAGAATTTGATTCATCCTTTTGCCTATAGAAAGGGACCCAAACTAGTTTGGGTTCCTAAGACTAACCCCTGATTTTCTTTTGCAGGTCCAAGTGAAGGGAAACAACCAAATATGGTACATGGATAGTGGCTGCTCAAAGCATATGACAGGAGCAAGAACCAGTTCCTTTCACTTGAGGACCTCAAAGGAGGTAATGTCTCCTTTGGAAATGGGAAGAAAAGTGAGATCATTGGGTTGGAAAGGTAGGTAAGACTGATTCTTACTCTATTGAGAATGTCTACTTGATAGATGGACTAAAGTACAGTCTAATAAGTGTATCACAATTGTGTGATAGAGGTAACATGGTAGCATTCATCTCTACCAAATGCTTTGTGATTAATCTTACAACTGACAAGATTGTTTTGTAGGGAAAAAGAGTGAACAATATATATGTTGTAGATCTGTCCACACTTTCAGAAAATGAACTCACTTGCTTAAGTGTGTTGGATAATGATCCTCTCCTTTGGCACAAGAGACTTTGACATGCCAGTCTGAGTCAACTCAACAAATTAGTCTCCAAGGACCTGGTGATATGGCTGCCTAACATCAAGTTCAAGGAAGATGAAGTTTATGAGACTTGTGCAAGGGGGAAGCAGGTAATATCCTCTTTTAAATGCAAGAAAATGGTAAGCACTACTAGGACGATGGAACTGGTCCATATGGATCTTTGTGGTCCAATAAGAATATTAAGCAAAGATGATAAAAGATATGTGATGGTGCTTGTTAATGATTATTCTAGGTTTACTTGGACATTGTTTTTAACATCTAAAGATGAAGCATTTGACAAGTTTACCTCTTTTGTTAGAAAAACTCAGAAATGACTAGGTAATCAACTTGCATCAATTAGGTCTGATCATGGCACTGAATTTGAGAATGCTGAATTTGCTGAATTTTGTGATGAGCATGGCATAAATCATAATTTCTCTGCTTCTAGAACTTTACAACAAAATGGAGTAATTTAAAGAAAGAATAGGACACTTGAATATATGGCTAGGACTATGCTTCTTTCTAGTAAACTGCCCCATAGCTTCTGGGCAGAGGCTGTAAGCACTGCATGCTATATCATAAATAGGTGCATAACTAGACCTCTTGTAGAGAAGACTCCCTATGAGTTACTTAAAGGTAGAAGACCAAACATATCCCATCTTAAGGCATTTGGATGCAAGTGCTTTGTGCACAATAACGGTAAAGACTCCCTAGGTAAGTTTGATCTCAGAGATGATGAGGGAGTATTCTTGGGATATTCTTCACATAGTAAAGCTTATAAGGTCTATAACAAAAGAACTATATGTGTAGAAGAAAGTGTTCATGCGGTTTTTGATGAAACTAACATTCTTTCTGAGAGAAAGGAACATGATGATGAAGCAATTGGGCTGGTAAGAAACTCAAATGAAACGATTGCCCAGACTGAAGCTACAATAGAGGAAGGAACAGGAGATGGAATAGGTCCTTCCACCCAGGGCAACATGACAGGGGAATAGAACAAAGAGGAAATGATCCTCAAACCTCAAGGGAACCTGTCCTTGAACCTGTTCCTCAGCAACAAAACATTGAAGGAACATCAAGGGGAAACCAGCTGGTTGTGAAATCTTACAAGTATCAGAGTTCTCATCCCATTGAGGACATAATTACTGATCCAACCTCTAGAATCGAAACCAGATCTTCATTAAAGAATCTTTGTACTTTTGATGCTTTCTTATATCTTATTGAACCTAAAAATGTTGCTGAGGCTTTGCAGGATACAGAGTGGGTAAATGCAATGCAAGATAAACTTAACCAATTTGAAAGGAGTCAAGTTTGGCATCTGGTACCAAGACCCAAGGACAGATCAGTAATTGCCACAAAATGGTTCTTCAGAAACAAACTTGATGAAGATGGAACAGTTACAAGGAACAATGCAAGATTGGTGGTTCAAGAATATAGCCAAGAGGAGGGCATATACTATGATAAAACCTTTGTTCTAGTTGCAAGGTTGGAAGGAATAAGACTCCCCATAGCTTTTGCTACTTACATGGAATTCGTTCTTCACCAGATGGATGTCAAGAGTGCCTTCCTCAATGGCTATCTAAAAGAAGAAGTGTTTGTCAAGCAA